AAGTGTCTTCACCAAATTCTACTTTAATATGAACAACTGGAAGTCCTCAGTTTAGATCCTACCTTTATGATTCCCTGGTTGTAACTCAGCTTTTCCGTACCTAATCCTCTTTAAATTGAGAGCATTATAGGCAGGAACGTCCTCGTGAGACTCTTCTCTCCAATAAATCACAGAAAAAGGCAGAAGCTGTGCTGTGGTTCATGTGGTAGAGCACTAGCCTAGAACAAAAGGAGATCAGAGACAACACTTAAGCCCAGAGTTCAAGGCCCAGGACTAAGAAGTAGATAGAGAGATAGATAGAGAGATAGATAGAGAGATAGATAGAGAGATAGATAGAGCATTAGACCTCTGTTTTGTAATGAACATCAGTTATATCTGATGTGGAAGAAGATTTCCCTCACATCCTGGAGTTACATGTTAGGAAGCACCTGAGCACTTTCTGCTCCAATTAGATTGAGATTCAGGACTTCAAGCTGAGCAATAAGTATTTCCATTGTTGCAGCTCTCTTCAAAGACATTAACTAATACTAATGAACATGACTTCCTAAAGGGCCAGAAAAATACTTCCAATAATTTACTTTCTCAGAGATCTATATTGCCTCCTCATGAGGAATTCCTATAGGTTATAAAGTATATACATTAAATTATTCAAGAACCCTATCAGAATTTGGATTGTCCAAAGGTTGATTATTTGGATACTAATAGAAAACATTATATCTTTGACTTATGACTTGGGATAAAAATAAACCAGTATAGATATTTTGAACATGTAAAAAAAATATATTCTTTTGAAAACACTTTGAACATGTAAAAAATATATTCTTCTGAAAACATTTCTATCCTGAGGCTCTTTTTTGTGCCTAATCACACACTTAGTTTTCCTGTACATAATCTACTAGTGAGAATGTACTATGTACTTTCCCACATAGACTACTTCCTTTTATATAACATCACATGAAGCTAGTGTGTCCAACATGACTCTGAGAAATACTGAATCATCAGACTATCTTTAAAATTTCTAAAATGCCAGATTTCTAAAATGATGAATTGTTGTCTACTTTTTTTGGAGAGGGTTTTGGGTAGATATAACTAGTCTCATCAAACTCCTACTCTACACATATTTAAATTGCAATTGAAAAGCTCTTACCTTACTCATCCTTAGTAGAAATTCTATTTGCTCTTTAGATCATCACTGACTAACTTAACTGCCCCAAATTCATGTAAAATTTTAGAACACTGGTACTGTGTAAACTATGCTTATGAGTCATAGAACATTCTATGTTCACTGTGCTTTAGATTTGTAAATGTTTTCCATACTCATCTTTTCATGTAAATTACTGTCTCAATCCATTTCTTAAATAATCTCACTGTCCAGTCTAAAATGCACCTGTTATTAATGATCACAGCATTGAAAACTGACAGTTCTTCTATTTTTAGGAATATCAGTGCAATCTTAAGCATTGTGTAAATATGCACGTACTTTTTCTAAGATAGAGAAAGTGACCAGAGGCAGATTTAGTTTTATTTAAACAGCAACACATTTTACTTTCTAGAACCACAAATATTGAAAGTATCACCAGTTATTTCTCCCTATTTGTTTGCATGTAGCAATTAGACCACTTTAAGACCTAAAAGAATTGTAGAGGATATTAGAAACAATGTGTAAGTTGACAAAATGCTAAAAAGCAGCCTGGCTCATTTGAGTGCAATGCACATCAAACACTTAACCCAAGATGGGCTTTAATGACGCTGTCATCCACTGACTGAGTGAGACACCTTTCATTGAATGGAGTTAACTAGCTTTTAGGCATTTACCCAATGCATGAGAATAGGAAAAAAATGCCAAAGCAGATTGCAAAGGTAGAGAAAAGGAGCTAAAATAGTTCTTATGACTATCATTCATAAAACTTTCCTTATTGTTGCTGCTTTCATGAGCTGTAATTGCATTTCTCCTTAGAAGAAATTGTACTTTCTCATAAATGCAAGAGGGAGGGGATAAAACAGGAGGTAGTCTCAGAGACTTCAACTATTTCTAAGGAATCGAAATATTCAATTTTACATGATTTTGAAACAAATTAATTAGATTCTCAATAGCCACAATGGCTCATATGATGGCCTATGCAAATTAGGAAGGGGAAGACTTTCTGAAGACCATTTTAGATGTTATTGCTTTTGTGTGAATTTGAATAAATTGCATCCACTTGCTCAGGGCAGATGTACTCCCGGGACAGATTACCTAGCCTTGAGAGCAAAGAGTTGGTGGAAATCAAATCTCTTATCCATCACTCCTTCTTATCCATGGGTCTTACACTGTGAAAAACCTGTGCTCCTATGTCCAGCAACCCTGAGCCTTAGTTACTAGATTGAGCAACTGGAAATCAGAAGAACCTGCAAAACTTTTCTGTCATCCTGTGTCTATGGGTGGAGCCTTTCATCAGAATGTCACCTGTAGCTAGCCTAAAGTTCCTTTGTTGTTTAGCATAGTTTTGTAATTATTCAACCTACATAGAAAAAGGAGTGAAGACTAAAGAAAACCCACTAAAATCTCATTCGTGGTTATAAATGGACAGAGGGCTTGGCCTAACCAAGATGTGCAGGCTAACAAAGTGTCCTATGGCACAGTAGCATTTGGCAATTGAACACCTAAACACCTATTATGACAAAAAAAAAAAAAAAAAATCACTTTTCCAGACTCCAGGAGAACAGAAAATAGAAAAATAGAGCCTTTGCTCTCAAAGAGAGTTTTTGTTGCTGTTTTTGATTTTCCTACTAATCTTTTTTATTTATTGTTTTTAATGACAGCATTAGGATTTGAATTCAGAGACTTGTGCTTGCTTGGCTTACTTGCTCTGCTGGTGCTTTACTACATGGACCATGCCTGCAGCATTATTTATTTTGTGCCAGTCCTGGGGCTTCAACTGAGGGCCTGAGTGCTATCTCTGAGCATCCTTTGCTCAAGGCTAGCACTCTACCACTTGAGTCACAGCTCCACTTCCAGGTTCTTTTGGTTGTTTTTAGTGGAGATAAGAGTCTCTTGGATTTTCCTATGGGCTGGGAAGGTGGCTCAGTGGTAGAGCGCTTGCGTTGCATGCCTGAGGCCCTGGGTTCGATTCCTCAGCACCACATAAGCAAAATGAAAAAAGCCAGAAGTGGCGCTGTGGCTCAAGTGGTAGAGCGCTCGCCTTGAGCTGAAGAGCTGAAGGACAGCGCCCAGGCCCAGAGTTCAGGCCCCACGACCGGACCAAAAAAAAAAAAAAAAAGAGTCTCTTGGATTTTCCTGCCTTGGCTGGCTTCGAAGCAGGATCCTCAGATTTCAGCATCCTGACCAGCTAGGATTCTAGGTGTGAGCCACTGGGACCTGGCTTCCAGCACTGTTTGTTTGTTTGTTTGTTTTGATTTTTTTGTGAAAATATTGTACAGAGAGGGGTTACAATTACATGGGCAAGATAATGAGTACATTTCTTATCAAGCATTGTTGCCTCCTCCTTTGTTTCCCCTTCCTATCCCTTCCCATGTCCCCCTTCCCCCAGCCAAAGTTGTAAAGTCCAGCACTGTTTTTGCTGGTTATTTTGGAGATCGAATCTAGAAAACTTATCTATCTTGACTGGCCTCTAATCTTCCATATCCCAGCCTCTTGGGTAGTTAGGATTACTGGCATGTAATCTTGATAGCGCAACAGCAAGGAAAAGCTATTTGACTTTTTTTTCTGGGCCCATAAGGCTTATGTGTATACATTTGTGAAATACAAGAAGATGATATATATTCCAGTCATCTAAATACAGAGTAGAGAATCACGAGTATTCTGAGCTAGTTAATGATGAATCTCATGATCCCATGATAGCTAGGCTTAAGTTATATAATTACTTATAGAATCTGTGGGACAGTTGTAACATAATCTAGACATTAAAAACTAGGTTTTATGCTCACATAGACTGTTTGTTTCCTGTTTCTACAACAAAATAATTGACTCTGACTAATGTAAAAGAAAAGAGATTTACTTATGTGAGAGAAAGAGAGAGGGGGGAGGGAGAGAAGGAAGGGATAAAGCAAGGGAGAGAGGGAGGGAGGGAGGGAGATTTATTTAGCTGAATGTCCAAAATTACATAGTCCTATGGGTTTGGCCTCTGGTAAAGGTCCCTTCAGCAGATGGTATCCTACTGAGAGGAAAGTGCTAGAAGAATCCTGTGACCAGACAGGAAGCACAGAGTTAGCATGGGTCCACTTGTTAATAACAACTTCCAACTGACACCAAAAGAACTGCCATAGTCCCTTCTAAAGGCAGTCCTGTGATACCTGTCACTGATTCCATCATCTCTACACTGAAGAGATCAAGCTCCAAAACACAAATACTGCAGAGACACAAAAACAGAACCACACAGGAGTGGTGTCTCTCTGGGTGCATTTCATGTGTATTTTATATTTATTTGCAATAGAATCAAACAACTTTTTTTGATCTGTTCACTTTGATATTGAACATAAGAAAACTCTCTGGTTTGAATTTGTATTGGGGCAAAATTGCAGTATTTGGTAATTTCAAAGACTAAATATACCCCTATAATTTCTTTCATTGCCATATTACAGTGAAAGAGCAAGGTATCTATTTTATTTGACAGTACTGGGATTTGAACTTAGTGCCACTTGCTAGGGAAGTACTCTACCACTTGAGCTATGTTCCAGCCCATTTTTGCTTTATGTGTCAGATAGGGTTTCACATTTTGCCCACAACTAGCTTCTGACTGGGATTCTCCTACTTCTGTCTCCCAGTTAGTGATCACAACTGTTAGTCACCTAGCCCAACTTGTGTTTAAGATAAGGTCCCGTTGACTTTTTGCCTCAAAACCACACTCTTCCTAGAGCTGCCTCTCAAGTAGCTGGAATTACAGATGTGAGCCAGTATACTTGGCTGAGGTTGGTATTTTAAAAGCTGGTGAAAAAGCACAGGTGACAGTTTTTGAAGCTGCTTCAAGATAATAATTACTCTCATTCAATTATCTTTACAGACCATAAAAGAGAACTGAAGAATGTCCATCTGAAACTGCCTTGAATGAAGAAACTTCATTGACTAAGAAGTTAATTGGCTTCCAGTTTGCACTGGCATCAATGGAAGGCTTTTTCTTTTTTTTTAATTTTATACTTTACTCAATGAAAACAAAGTTTTTCTGTGCTATGTAAATGGTTCCTTCATGTGGTCTGACAGCTATTTTTTTTGCCGTCCTTTCTTTTTTTAATTAAAAAAATGTTCTCAGAAGAGGGGGAAAAACAAAAACATTGAATGTGGATGTTTTACCTGGAAGAACATTTGAATTCAGAAGTTACCTGAAGGTGTAGATAAATTTTTCTTTTTTTTAAATAGAGGACCTGAAATCAAGAGGTGGACACACAGAAATGAAAACAAATTGTCTTCCTCAGACATAAAGCTATTCTTTCTCTCTTTTCCCCTTCTGTTTAAACTTACTGAGTTGGTTCATTTTTATGTTTGTCTTTTCTTAGAAGTATTTAGGTAAGGTTTATCTTGAATCTTAATTGCCTTAATTTTAAGGACGTCAGAGGCTCTCCAGGCAAGCTGTCAACGTCTTGTTAAAAAAAAAATCAAGAAATAGTTGAATTACTGTACCAGCTTTAATTGGTACAGAACTTTAAGACTATGAGTTTTTAGAGTGAAAAAAAAAATAACTGTACAGTTTGAAAGAAAATGTTTTTCTTCATTTGAAGAAAATTTGTGGATAAAAAGAAACCATGTCAACTTCAAGAATTAGGAAATACTGGGACTTCTCATGAACTTTGTCTAAGTGTTGACACACATTTAGAAGGCTAAATGTCTTACGGTAAAGTTATTCATGTTGGTTTAAAACAACTGCATTAGAAATAATGCGTGTTTGGGGGGCAGAATGCAGATTTTTTTATTTACAAAGCGTGATTGCTAGCAAAAGCATTAGTGCTTTTTATCTGCAGTCTTTTTTATGAGCTTTACAAAGTTTTTAGTCAGCTTTGCTTGTCACATTGCAAAACTTAGCTTAAGAGCATTAAAAAAATTAAGTAGATAGGAGCTTATGGTCAACAAGTGCAAAAAAACAAAAAAACAAAAAACAAAAAAAAGCAATAGATAGAGAAATTGTTGGCAATTTCTGTAGTCTTTCCTAGTTGTGAACAAATTCAGCCTATGGATGGCCTATTTTATACCAAAGACGGAGTGATGCCAATTCAGTCCCGAAGATAGAGATTGTTTTTCTTCTCTCTTTTCCTTTTGTTAAAAAAATTATTTTACCAACATGGCTGGTTGAATTCTTACTTTGTTTAAACTACCTTCCACTGGTATTGTACATATTCCAAAAGAAAATCCTTTTTTGTTTTGGTTTTTTTTTTAAATGTCTATTTGTCAGTAGTAGAACCTTCCATCAACCACAGCTCAGCAGTTCCAGCAGGAAGAGTCTGGATGTCACTGTATAGAACCAGGTGGTTCTATGGCTTGGTGCCAGCTCCCTTTACTATTGGAACCTGTGTGGATGACCACCAATAATCGAAGACACTTATTCAACAGGTTGAATTTTCATGATAGGCCTTTCAAACTGAACACAGTCTTAAAGGTCACTGAAGGGTAGTTGTGAGGAAAGCTTAGTGGTTCTATGGGAAATGGAAAGTGATCTCCTGAGAAGGTGTCACTGAATTGGTAACAGGTCTTCCTTCTGAATTCAACACCTTGGGTTTTGTTTCCTGGACTCAGTAATTATCATCATCCACCACTAATTGCCTCCTTGATTCTGCAGCTGGAGACAGCTATCATCTTCCTGACTCTTGGCATGATATTTTCATATCTAGTTATTCCCAAAAGATTGAAAACCTAGACCTTTCATTTAATTGTCTGAGGCGTATAGAACAACTGAGCTGGAAGATTCTATAAATGGAACATAGGAAAGCTTTTAAAATGCTAGGTGACAATCAAGAAATGTGTGATTACTATCAACAAGAACCAAAAGAATTAGGGTTCATTAATGATTAAAACCAAAGGAAATATTTGCATTTAGAAGGATGCAAAATTTTGTCTAAAATTAATTTAATTGACTTACCTTTAAAAAAGCTTTACATTTTTTTCATCCAATTCATGTTCAACATAAATAGATGCACCTGTAATTAAAAACAATGGAACAAAATTTTTCTAATTGAACTATCCTCTAGAATTGCTTTCTAAAGGAAACATCTAAATCCGGTATGTGAAATTCTTTATAATTGTCTGTATAAGAAGAACAAAAAACAAAAACTTAGTCCTGACGAAAGAGGGGAATGCACTGAACTGAATGCATTGTTAAAGAAAACAGGGTAGTTTTACACACTAAAGAATTAAAAGGTAAATTACAGTCCCATTTGGTCAACATGAGTAAGGACTTTGCCTCCTATGACATTGCCAATATTTAAATAGACCGTGGTTCTCTTATTTGCAATCTTATCAGTTGAAAGCTCAGACCTAGAGACTGAATCCATGTTTGTCATCCAGCTAGTGGTAAAAGTATCCAAGAAAATGTCTCGTGCTACAGGGAAATCCAGCTGGTTACAGCCAGGCTCACAGTTTTAGATACCATTGAGAGCATCTCAGATTTATCCATTCTTCTGTTGCCTCTTCCAGCTTTCCATGAATTACAAGGATGGTGCTTAAGTTTTCACTTTGAAAAGTTGGTCCACATGTTAGAGGGGACAGAAGAAACCATCTGTTGGAGCTGTCATTTCTGTGTCTCCTTTTCACTCTCAGAATTCTTTGTATAAATAAGGGTTATCCTGGGCATAATTCATTAGGCTATGAAACCAACATGCTTTCTTGTTTCTGTAAAAAAAAAAAAATTACCAAATGCATACATTAATGTGATTCAAATAAAGTCTCATTTACATAATCAACCATGAGGCTCAGAGGTAGCTACCATGTGGCTGACGAATGTGCCTAGGTGACTTCCTGTTTCTACTCCAAACTGCTGATTGATTTATACAGTCAGAAACATTTTTTTTCAACTATGAAATTTCAGTAATCTCAATTTTTTAGGCCACTTCAGGCAAAAGGAAATTACTCCTGTTATTTTATGTGTTCATGTGTGTTTTGTATTTGTTTTGCTAGCTTTTTAATTTTTTTTTTTTTTTGGTCGGTCGTGGGACTTGAACTCTGGGCCTGGGTGCTGTCCCTCAGCTCTTCAGCTCAAGGCGAGCGCTCTACCACTTGAGCTACAGCGCCACTTCCGGTTTTCTGGTGGTTTATTGGAGATAGGAGTCTCATGGTCTCTCCAGTCCGGGCTGGCTTTGAACCGCGATCCTCAGATCTCAGCCTCCTGATTAGCTAGGATTACAGGCGTGAGCCACCAGCGCCCGGCTGCTAGCTTTTTAAAATCATGCCATCTTATAAAGTATTTCAAGCCAAAAAGAAGAAAAAAGGCACAGGTTCAAATTTTCCCCTTTTTTTTGTCTTCATATTCTAAGAATTGTTTTCAAGAGTACATGGATAAATAATAAAAGTATCAAAAGGTTAACTGAATTACAGTATATGAAAAGTAAAACAAACGAAAGTATGTGTCCCACACAAAGAAACATCAGAACCCTAATCTATGGAAGTCAATGATATATATTAAAATGGTTTTAATCCTATTTAGAACTATAGTCCATTTTTTCAGTCAAGCTGATTTTTGATTCATCAGATTTTCAGGTATTTATTTAGACTATTTCAGTTTTTCTTTTTGACTGATATTGCCAAGTCTTAGTTGACACATTAGGAAACAAACTAAAGCCACAAAGCCAGTGAGATAAACATTATCTCCTCCATCCTTTGTTACTTGATCAGTACAAGAATAAACATATTTGCATAATTATAAAGGTAGTATCAAGTAATCTGGGAGCTCCAGATACAAGGCCAGGGCTTCTAAGAATAAACATAATGCCAACAGGCTTGAAAGAGTCTGCCCAGGCACACTGACATGCCTTGAATAGAGCCAGTCTCCTAATAGTCTCAAGAAAATCTACCTGATTCCAATTTGGCTGAGCTTAGTTTGTTCACTTGGTAAAATTCAACAGCTCAACATATTGTCTCCATGTTTCACTTCAGTTAATTCTTCTTGTGACTTGAGCAGATTTGCTACATTTGAAGGCCCCAGAAAAGAATGGAAAACACCACTCTGTTAGCTGGTCTCTATTTGGGATGGAAAACTGAGCCCAGGAGGGCTGGATGGAGCAGGTGGTGTGCACTGTCTCACTACTTGCAGAATACATCACTGACCCCATTGCAAAACTGCTTTAAAATCACTTTCAGTTGATATAGGAATAAAACCATAGTTTGTTTTTCCTTTCTCCTAAGAATAACAACAATTATTATTATCATATTTGGGATGCCTATTATGTATCATCATGTGCTTTTACACTGGACTAAAATCTTGTAAATGAAAAGTGAAATTTAAGCTAAATGGACTCTCAGTCTTCTTCATGATTGAAGAAACTTTCAGGGGGCTTGGCTAAGGAAATTATGATGTCAGTCAACTCAAAACACTTTCAGTCTCATTCCTAATTTAGTTTTATGAATGGCTGCAGATGAGCTGATAAGCAGAGAGAAATTCTTAAGTGGTTTTACTGATAAATATTTTATACGGTTTCAAATCAAGTGAAGGAGTAATATTTATATCCATTTATAATGATATTCAGCACAGTTGAGGACTCATCTTTTATAATACAGTACAAACCTGTCAGAAAGCTTGATCTGCTTTATTTTGGACACAATGAGAGTAAGGATACAATTTTGCTTTTTGGGTTTCTATGACTGTATGTTTGCAAATAATGAGTTCTTGGGGACAGTCTCTCACCTGGATGGAAAGGATTGATGAGACTTAAACAGGCTGTGGATTTTGTGCATTATACCCTTCCTGTGAGATTTCATTGATGAATCAGTTTGTTTTACGAAGGACATCCATCCTGACATTGGAAGACAGTTTGACTTATTTTTAACATATGGAATAGGTTGATTGGTCCTAAGAACAAAATTGTTCCCTTAATCCAAATGCTCTTGGGTCCTTAGCTGGTTTTTATAGATTACATGAGTTCAGGAAAGTACAAAAACTATTAAATCCCCAAAGACCTTTTATGATTCAGGAAGTGGAGCTCACCCCAGTTTATTGGTTTGTTTGGTTTTTATACCCAAACATAGAGATAGATGTTCAGTATTACAAAAAGAGAGAGGGAAGGTTCCTTATTATTCACTATTGTGTATTTCTGAGTGGGAAAGTCATGTATGCAAAATAAATAAATAAATAAAGGTTTCCCACTCAGCAAGCTGGGAGGCTGAAGCTAAGGGGCTGGAATTCAGAGTCTGAAGGAAGAACCAACCCCAAGGACACAAGATCATGCTTTCTTCACATCATTCTAATGTCCAGCTTTTGCAGAAATGTAATCACGCTCAATGTTTGAAGGGCTACTTGACTCCTTTGTGGATGTGCCTGGTCTTTTCCTTTAAATGACTAGGCCTCAGACTATGTTTCTTTCCATTAGTGTTTCACTCAAGAAGTGATAGAAAGAGAATGGAAGTATATAATTCAAATTAGTCAGATGGATTCCTTCTTCACAATTGATTTTAAACCATTAATAAAATTAATATTCCATATCTTGTACATATTGAATTTTGATAACTTATAAGCTCCTTTTCCCATCCACCACAAACAATTGAGAGTTGACTGTATTCTTGCTGGTTGTAAAAGAAAAAAAATGATAGCAAAAACTTGGCTACCTTCAAAAGAAAGCAATTTCTGTTTCATTCACTCTACTGAAACTTAAACCAGGATAAAAGAATGCCACAATTACCGTTAGGAGAATATAACATTAGCTCTTGGTTAAATTTTCACTCTTATCCTACTTTTTAAGTCTTTTCCCAAAAACAAATGCATGTTGCTTTTTCTTTTTTCTTTTTCTGACTTTACATTACTGTATTAAGGCTGAATGACTTTGACATTCCAACGGATATCTTTAGGAACACAATTTAAATAAGTTCAGAGTGTAACATTACCATTACACTTTGGACTTTAAACCTTCTGGTCTTAGATTATGAAGAAAGATGCTCTGTCTTCCTCCCCAAAATGTGTTATTTCCTATTATACAAAAAGAATTTGTTGTTCTGTACCTTTTGGGAACTGTAAAATTATTTTAAGGAGATATTTGGTATTTGAATTTTTCTCCATTCTGAAAATCAATGCTTCCATTAATTTAAAAAAAAGAAAGAAAGAAAAAGAAAATTGGAATCTTAATCTGAAAAATCCAAGTGAAAGTGCTTATTATGAGATATTATCTCTAAAACTAGTGGACACAGCTTCTTTAATTCTTTTTTCAGGCCATATTCAACTTCATGGAATTTGGAAACATCATTTAAGAGCATTTTTGTACCACTGTCTTTGACTGTCATGGAAAGTTCTGTAATTCTATGGTGTTTTCTTGGGTTTTTGTTTTGTTTTTTTTTGTTTTTTCCCATCTTCACAGTCAGATGCCATTTCCCCTATTCCTTGGGCTTTCTGTAGATCAGTGGATGTTAGGTTTAAATTTCTGTTTTTCTTTGATGAAGCTTTCAATAAAAAATGGAAATAAAACCAATTAAGTAGACTGTTGTATTTATCTGAACTCATCTGGGTCCTTAGGAAAGTTGTGAGAGGGTAAAGGTAGAACTAAGCTGTGTGTTTTATTTAATCCAGAATTTTTCTAGAATTCCTTAAAGAATTTTCTCCAGAAACAATGTGACAGAAGATGGAGGGGCCCTGATCAAGCCATGGTGTAAATCCAGAAAAGGGAGCAAAGTGATCTCTTCAGGTCTTCTCAGTGCTCCCAATTCGTCTATTTATCCTATGGGGTTCAGTGACTACCCCATTCTTATCTCCAGGCATGCTTAACTAGTATCAGCCATTTATTTAATACAGCTTGTGTGAAGGTCAGTGTTATATGTAACTACAAGGAAATTTTCCTTTACCTCTGTGGTTTGTTTTCCTACAAAGATTACCAAAACAGTGTTCATTCCTCAAGTTATGGAACAACTGTAGTAGACAAACACAACTCTATGTCTCTGGTTCAAAATTAAACAAGCTTGCAGTTCCCATTCAAGGTCCAAGAAACATTCTGTCTTACTCAAAATGTTAAACACAGGAAATCAAATTGGATAAACAAAACACATTTAGTCTGCTGTTATCATAAAACGTTTTGGAGCAGATGATTTATAAATAATGAAGTCTGGGAAGTTCAGAGTCAGGCGTCGATCATGTCCTCCATGATGAAAGTGGCACACAAGCTCCTTTCCTTAGCTCTGATCTTGTGAGAAATACAGTCACCCACCCAATCTCAAAGGATGGATTTGGAGACGAGAAGTGCCATAAAAGTGAAACTGTAATGGCGTTTGAGGAGCCTTCTCCCAAATTCCCCATTGGTCCGAGAAATATGGGGTTCAAATTCTTTCTCTCTAAGTCATGTTACTTTCCATTAGGTATTTCAAATTCATGCACCTGTTGGAGATGGTTGAATTTTAGAAGACTTGGCTATGTCTACCCTACTTCATTCTGAGGTAAGAATGCTTATGTGCTTTGCTTCCTAGCACCTACACAGTTTCTACTCATTTTTCTCATTATATTGCAGTCCATTCTTAGGCCCTGCCCCTTCTAATCCATCCTGTTTATCTATGGGCTTTCCAATGAATGAATGAACCTAGTCACATCAGCAAGTCACTATGCATGCAAGAGAATGACAATTTCCCACTCCAAATTAAATGACTTGTCTTGAAGAGGAACCACTACTCACTTGATTTAATAATCCCATTCATGAGGCTTAGCCCTAATGCCTTAATCTGCTCACAAATTCCTCACCTCTCTATTATTGTAACTAACAGCATCAAGATTTAATATAGAATTAGGATTCAATATGAATTTTGAAAGGACACAAACATTTGAGCTTTAGCTCTCATCTTTCATTAAGTTTGTTTAGAATGATACTTTATGTTTATTTTGTTTCTTACTAGTGTAAGAAAATAATAACACTATGCATATACTAAAAACTATTTTCAAAGAAGATAAAGGGAAATACAATAGATCAAATTTAATCATAAAGTGCTTCTTTTAGAT